TAGGAACAGTAGTAGTGTAGTAGTAGTAGAAGTAGTAGTATAGAGTAGTAGTAGTAGTAGTAGTAGTAGTAGTAGGAACAGTAGTAGCAGTAGTAGTAGTAGTAGTAGTAGTAGTAGTAGTAGTAGTAGTAGTAGTAGTAGGAACAGTAGCAGTAGTAGTAGTAGTAGTAGTATTAGTAGTAGTAGTAGTAGTAGGAACAGTAGTAGTAGTAGTAGTAGTAGGAACAGTAGTAGTAGTAGTAGTAGTAGGAACAGTAGTAGTAGTAGTAGTAGTAGTAGTAGTAGTAGTAGTAGTAGTAGTAGTAGTAGTAGTAGTAACAGTAGCAGTAGTAGTAGTAGTAGTAGTAGTAGTAGTAGTAGTAGTAGTAGTAGGAACAGTAGTAAGTAGTAGTAGTAGGAACAGTAGTAGTAGTAGTAGTAGTAGTAGTAGTAGTAGTAGTAGTAGTAGTAGTAGTAGTAGTAGTAGTAGTAGTAGTAGTAGTAGGAACAGTAGTAGTAGTAGTAGTAGTAGTAGTAGTAGTAGTAGTAGTAGTAGTAGTAGTAGTAGTAGTAGTAGTAGGAACAGTAGTAGTAGTAGTAGTAGTAGTAGTAGTAGTAGTAGTAGTAGTAGTAGTAGTAGTAGTAGTAGTATAGTAGTAGTAGTAGTAGTAGTAGTAGTAGTAGTAGTAGTAGTAGTAGTAGGAACAGTAGTAGTAGTAGTAGGAACAGTAGTAGTAGTAGTAGTAGTAGTAGTAGTAGTAGTAGTAGTAGTAGTAGTAGTAGTAGTAGATAGTAGTAGTAGTAACAGTAGTAGTAGTAGTAGTAGTAGTAGTAGTAGTAGTAGTAGTAGTAGTAGTAGTAGTAGTAGTAGTAGTAGTAGTAGTAGTAGTAGTAGTAGTAGTAGTAGTAGTAGTAGTAGGAGCAGTAGTAGTAGTAGTAGTAGTAGTAGTAGTAGTAGTAGTAGTAGTAGTATTAGCAGTAGTACTCGTAGTACTTCTCTAACCCTTGTGTTGTCCTCAGATCAAAGAGAAGCTGCTGCAGCTGACGGACAAGAGGAAGGAGATGATCGATAAGTGGGAGGACCGCTGGGAGTGGCTGAGACTGGGTGAGCGGCAGGAAACAGGAAGTCTCACAGATAGGAAGGAAAACTCCAAATGTAGAAACAGATGAAGAAATCTAACGAGGAGAAGCAGCAATATAATAAAAAAGTCTTCAAAGTCATCAATCATCATCAATTAAGAAGCATTTTAAAGGATTTACAGGTATTTGTGAGTTAACAAGAAAAAAGGTAGAGAAAATGTATGAATAATATAAAGAAAGACAGTCAGTGCTGCTGCCTGCAGGCTGGCAGCTGATTGGACACTGCAAGCTGGAAGCTGATTGGACGCTGCAGCGCTCGCTGCCCTTTAACGAGACGCTGAGCCGATTTGAATTAAAGATTGGATCTCCTCACACTTCTCACACACTACTACACACAACGTGTTCATAGAAACCTGAATATTATAAAGCACCTCAGCAGGGTGCAGAGACTCTAACCCCTGTCCCCCCCTCAGTGCTCGAGGTGCACCAGTTCTCCCGGGACGCGGGCGTGGCCGAGGCCTGGTTGCTGGGCCAGGAGCCCTACCTGTCCTCCAGGGAGGTGGGCTACAGCGTGGACGAGGTGGAGAAGCTCATCAAGCGCCACGAAGCCTTCGAGAAGTCTGCTGCCACCTGGGAGGAGAGGTTCTCCGCCCTGGAGAGGCTCACCACGGTCAGAACACACCTTACATACTGTATATAGCACTACACTATATATATATATATATATATATAGTACTACACTATATATATATATATAGTACTACACTATATATATATATATATATATATATATATATAGATGTTTAAATACAGTTATTTCTATTTTGCTAGGTTTATTTACAATATAGGCCTACATGACTTATTGTCT